TGATATGGGCTGGCCCGGTGGCGCACTGGAGAGTGCGCTGCTTGGGAGCGTGGCAGCGCTCCTGCCGAGGGTTCGGATCCCATGTGGTGACCCGTTCCCGCTCACTGGCTGGGCGTGGTGCGGTTGCAATGCCAAGGGTTGTGATACCGTTACCGGTCAGTAAAAAAAAGACAAAAGGAAAAAAAAAAATCACTTATATGTTGTAGTCCCACGCTGGATATGCTGCCAAAGGGCTTCCTCAGTAGACAAAAGCAGGAAGACAAGGAGCATAACAAGACCCTTTAGTCTCTCAGATGGGTTGTTCCTGGATTCTTATGAGTCCCAGCCTCAGTCTAGTGCTAGATCATCCAGTCGCTCAGCTCAGCTTCTATGTCTCACCTGGGTTTTACCACCACCCAAGGACCATGGCCTGTGTCTCTTTTCCAGGGATGGAGTCTGCTGGCATCCATGAAACGACCTACAACAGCATCATGAAGTGTGACATTGACATCAGGAAGGACCTCTATGCTAACAATGTCCTCTCAGGGGGCACCACCATGTACCCCGGCATTGCTGACCGGATGCAGAAGGAGATCACAGCCCTGGCACCCAGCACCATGAAGATCAAGGTACTGTTCAGTGCAGACCTCCCTTTGGCTATGTCCCCAGCGGTGTCAGACCTATAACCACATGTGAAGGGTTCCTAAGGGGCCATATCTTGTCACATGCAGCCATGGTTTCTAGGACTAGGCAGTGGGTAAAAATCCACACATCCCAGACTTCACAGGATATAAACCAATCCAGTTTATAAGAGGAACTGAATTATTTAATACAATCTATACTTATCCTTGCCTATCAGTTACCTTCAGCAGCTGCAATCAAGTTCAACAGAGCTCCCCATGTGCTTATATCTCTTTAAAATATATATTTTGTTGTTTTTCCTCATCACAAAAATAATCTATCTCATGCGAATACTAAAAAAAAAAAATACTGATGAACTAGATTTATTTCTTTAGTAATTTAAACCCTATAGATTCAGTAGCTTTTACTCTTCTTTCACTACTGAATGTGCCCACGTCCCAGGGGCCAGGAATTAGAATTCTATCTTCATCTCTGTGTCCGGCACATCTTTTGATATAGCTGCTCAAAAGCACACAACGACTCTAGGATGACCAAGCTCAGTCCCTGAGCCACCCAGGGGCCCTATATGGTGTGAGTGTTGAGTCCCCGTCCAGTGAACTCAGGGATTAAATGGAGATCATTCTTTGAAGGCAACCTTACATGTGGCTGGTGTCTTCTCAAAGGCTATTAACACTCTCTGAAATCCGAAGGCCGTGCTGGTACCCTCTGACCCATGTCACAGGATGCAGAAGGGACAGTTCTAGTGCAGTTCACACACACACGAGAAGGCTTCAAACAAGTCCTCTGTTGTCTGCACTCGCTTCTCTTTTCGGAAACAGTATGTGGCTAACACGGAGTATGTTAGACTAAGGCATGCTCGCTGTCTCCACAATCAGCTCCGGGCAATCCTGCCCTAAAAGACTTCACATCAGAGAAGAGAGACTGTTTTCTGAAGGGCTTGTGTTTTGGGGTGACCCTCCAATCAGCTCTACTCCCTCTGACTCCCACACTGGAGGGAGGGTGTGAAGCCAGCTGCTGGGCTCACGGCAGAGCCAGCCTAGTTGAAGGTATTTAACAAAGAGAGGCTGCAGCTGGAGTTGGCAGCTCCCAGTTCTCGGAACCTGGCTTGATTAGAAATGAACGTGAAACTTAAGGTGCCTGTGTGGTGAGAGAGTACAGGGAACCACTGAAAACCTGGGACAGTGAGGCGATAACATTAGGGGAAAATGAAACTGGGTGAGGGATCTATGCAAAGTCCTTGTACTACCTTTGTAACTTTTCTGGAAATCTAAAATCATCCCAAAATAAAAAGGTTATTTCTAAAGCAAAATAAAACAAAACAAAAACCTGAAAATGCCCGTATTCGAGTATTGGGTTTGCCACTGATACAACTGGTGTGACTTGAGCCAGTTATTTAAACCTGTCTCAGCCTTTTTTTTCTTCATATGTAATATGGGAGTAATTTAATACTTAAACACTTCAAGGTAGTTATGGGAATTAAATGAGACAGCACATGCAAAATGCTTACCATGGTGCCTGGTACATAGTAAGTGCTCAGTAAATGTCAGCTATTGGTATTAAACAACAAATGCTCAACCAGAGCTTGGGGGATACAAGGAAATTAAACTTTTTAACCACAGTTTCAGAAACACCTTGTCTGTTGCCAAAAGTGTCCATTTCCCTTTCTACCCAAGAAGCCAAGCTGGAGTGAAATTTGGAATTGCCCAGCTGTAGCTATTTTTTGAGCTGCTGCAGGTGGACGAGACCCTGGCCAGATCCACTGCTCTCTGTGTGTAAAGCATTAATTTATTTAAGAAACATGAGCATGCTCTTGTATGTCAGGCCTGTGTGCTGGGAAAGGCCAGCCAATGTAGCTGAGGAGGGACCCTCCCAGGGGAACGTTCATCCCTGCAGGGACCCTGAGTCTCTGGATGTTAAGCAGTGCATCTGGGTGGCCTTTCAGAGAGTGGCAGTTGACTTAAGCTGGTGGAAAGAATACTCACATAGAAATTTCTGGCACAATTAAAACTTCTCCTTTGAAGAATGCTGGTGTTTGTTTCTATAGAGGGTGTATGTTGTGCTGAGTTCCGAGGCAGAGCTTACGGAAATCAGAGGCATTGTCAGGGCTCCTAAATGGAGGCCATGGTAGGATTCGGGGCCAACTTTCAGTTTGCTCAGTAATGTGGTAGAGGAGTTAGGGATGGTCGGGAATAGACGGCATGAGGGAAGGCACAAAAACAAAGGTATTCACTGCAGAATCTCTGAATCAGTGGCCTCTTCACACCTCCTTGTCCTGTAACAGCCCAGAGTGTCCCTGCAGCTGCTCAAGAAACCACAGTGTAAATGTGGCCCATGGCAGAACACCCAGGAGCTGTCCTGTGCTACTGCCACTGCACTAATGACCGTCCTTTCTCATACCCCCCGGCAGATCATCGCCCCTCCAGAGCGCAAGTACTCGGTGTGGATCGGAGGCTCCATCCTGGCCTCGCTGTCCACCTTCCAGCAGATGTGGATCAGCAAGCAGGAGTACGACGAGGCCGGGCCCTCCATCGTGCACCGCAAGTGCTTCTGAGACGCTCGCCCGCTCTGTCGTCTCCTGCACACGACTGTGAATGTTTTGTGGAGTAATGCCTTCAGTTTCTTTCCAAATCATTCCTGGCCAAAGCTCTGATCGTTACCCATGTGTGTTTTAATAAATCTTAAACGTGCTCCCGGTAACGTCTGGCATTGGCTGATCGTTTCTGCAAGGTTGACCTCACCCGTTGCTCGGTGGCTCCCTCTAGTGGTCCAGCCGAGAACGCGACGCACTTGGCACGGATGTTTCCCAGGCAAAGAAAGGGTAGAATCCCAGCAGGAACGTGGGAAGCTCCACTTACGTTCTGTAAATGGAAGGAATTGAGACTACACGGGAGAGTAAAAGAACGAACACAGATTAAAGTGTATCAGTGGGATATCTACAATGACTCCCCAACGTGTGGAGTGATTACATTACTTTACATTCATAACTCCAGTACTGGTAGCCTGATTGCTGAAAACAAAAATAACAATTATCATATATATACACACACGTACATATATATATATATATATATATATATATATATATATCTCACACGTACATATATATATATATATATATTAAAATTCATACTTTGTACATTAAGTCTCACACACACATTTCCCACATGTATATATGTGTGACTTTTCATATACAATTTATGACTTTTAATATGTATGTACTATATATTTAACTCTATATATCTATATAAAGTATGACTTTTAAGTTTATTGGGGGAAACATAGATTTTTTTAAAAAACACTGAGAAACACTGCTTTAAAACCTCACTACACAGTTGGACCATCTGTCTCCTTTCTGATCAATACCTGTGTTAGAAAAGGATGCTATGGATATAGTCACACCGGAAGGGATGAGACAATAACAATACTTTCCAAGGACCACTAGCATCCATCCAAAGGATTTTATACATATCATCTCTCATTTATTCTTCGAAACTATGTGGGGAAAGTAGTATTATCAGCCCATTTCACGGATGAGACAGAGGTTGCTCCAGAAGCACAGTTACTTAGGGGAGCTACCAACTTCAACTGTTCCTTTGCCCATTTGGCCTGGGAGGTACAAAATGTTTTAAAAAAAAAAAAAACAAAAACACCAAAACCCTCCCTGCCCTTCAGGGTCTTAGTCTCGAAGTGTTTTTCTGCCCAGGATGTTTAGCATCCTCGGCAGCTCCCTAGCTGGGGGCCGCTGGTCTTCAGTGTATCAACATCCCAGAGTGTTCTGCAGTCACTAATCATTCTGAGGAGTGAGGGCTGCTCTGTCTGCCGCAGCACCTCATTGCAGAGACCCCAGGACCCAGGATTTAGTGACTTTTTGGTCCAGAAAACTCAAGGTTCCCTAGTTTTCCCTGCCCTGTAACTTACAGATAATTAGGATTAATGCTACAAATAGTGAGAGCTAGGTGCCTATAATATAATAATAATAAAATATACATATAATAATATAATATATATTATAATAATTTA